TATCAAATCGTACGTTCTAAAAGTCTACTTTGCCCCTAAATGGAGCGTTTGACTAACTTACAATGTGTAAAAGATCATAGGCTGTCTCCAAAGGGAGGCGCGTGTGCCCGACTCAGTTCTTCACTGTGTCAAAGTTGCCATGTTTCTTCGGCCGCATACAGTGGCCTATGGTGACCGCTTGATCAACATAATGGGCCGGCTAGCAAACCTGCGAGCTGACATCAAGGAAAAGATTTTAACCGACCGGAAGAAAATGCTTGAATCTGCATACGCCATCGAGGCTGAGTTGATGTCATGGCTCACGTCCTTGCCAGAAAACTTCCCCTATGCCACCATCGAAGATCCCTGGCCTACTCTTAAATGGGGTCCCAAGCCTTATAACAACGTCTATCATGTGTACACCGATTTTTGGATCTGCAACTCGTGGAACCAATACCGAGTCGCACGGATCATTACCAGCGATCTCATTCTGACATGTATCCGGGACTTGAATGCCGGCTCACCCCTACCTGCCGATCTTGTCAGCATACCTCTCAGATCCGCAACACTGCCCGACAGCTCGCCAGCGATATCTGCGCCAGTGTGCCTTATTACTTTACCGATAGTGTCTTCAAGCTCGCCACTGGACAAGCGGAAATGAGTTCCCGCTATGAGATACCCTCACAACAAGGCTTTGTTCGCGGTCTGGTGCTCCTATGGCCGCTATCCATGGCAGCCGCAACGCGAGGGCTGAATCACCCATTACGGCGCTGGGTGTTGGACTGTCTCCAGCTGATAGGACATGGCATGGGTATCGATCAGGCGCTGGCCTTGATCGAACTCCTGATGACTGAAGATGGTGTCTTTGACACGCTAGCCCTCCCGGAGGATAATAGCCTTTTAATCGGCTCGACCGGTGCTAACTTCAGCACCGATAACAGTGGCAAACACTGGACAGGAGCCTCACTAAGTACATATACCACTCAGGTGGGGTGAGTGTCTGCAACAATACCCATATAGTGGCAGGCCACGTGTAAATACATCCGATTAATGTGTCTAAATAGCGTTGATGCGGTGTCTCTGACATCGTTGCACATACTATATACAAATAGCGGACCTTCACATGAGGTCAACTCTACATAGCAACAAAGATAATACATACTTCAAATCCATCTAATTTAGCTAATTAATTATACTAACTAACTACTCAATCTTCTGGTCTGTGTGCCGTTCCCAGTCTGTCAAACCTTGGTAGTAGTACAGTATTGTGCCCGATGGTGGCTGTGCCCATGCCAACAGCCTGGCTCAGTCTAAGCCTTACACTGCTTCCTGCGCAACGCTAAGCCCCTCCCCCGCAACCACACAACTGAACCAGAAGGCTGTGCACGGAACCTTCCTTCCAATTTCCAAAGTATCCATTCATCTTCTTCACAGGGAAGTGATAAGCCAAGTACTAGTAAGTAAGGAGGGTTCTCTACTTACACAGCCCCCTGCTTCCCCTCTAATATTCCTTCCATTGACTCCGATTTGCCCTGAGCCGGGTATCCATGCCTCATGCCTGCATACATGCATGCATGTGCAGTATGCCTACTAGTAAGTAGTAGGGAGAACATCCATCCTTGTAAGGCTAGATTATGAATCACCGAACTGGCAATTAGACTACTACTACTACCACTACTACTAAGCTAGAGTAATTAGCTAGACTACTTACTTTTGCGGTTGCATGCAGAAGTCTCCCCACTGTTGATGGAATACTATTAAGTGGGATGTAAGTTTTACTCCTTAAACATTGAGGCAGTGTCACACGGCAATATCGTGGTGGCACATCCACATACTAACTCCATATAACTCTGACTGTGGAAATTAAATGGGCGGAGCAAACCTTGAAAGTCATACATAATATTCTTCTACTACTACTACTGTCTGCCTTAGGCTCTCTTGGGGTTTTCTGCCTTGTGAGAGTGCAGCACGCGCGCTTAGTTCCGTGGCTTTATGTCGTATGCACGTATACAATGCTTGGTTTTGTTTGCTTTGTACATGACTGTGGAACTTATAGCATAAGTAAGTATTGTGATATCATATGGTGTCGTAGTTCCGGAGGATAAGTACTACTACTATCAGTACTGTGGGAAGTTCCGATGCAGTAAATAAATTGAATCTGCCTTGGTGTGCTGTGGGGTCGATACGAGTATATATATTTTGTTGGTTGCGGCGCTGGCATAGGTATCTTCGTGGGAATTCTTACTTCAAATCATTTGGGAGTCACTGGTGCTGGCAAAGTGAAGATCTCACCCTGGCACTGACATCAGCCTTACTACTTACTTACCTGTTCGAACGGTATTGTGTCATTGTCAGTCTCGACCCGTCACACCTTCCTGCCTTTATCCTTTCTTCCTTTCTTCCTCTCTCCTGCATCCTTTATTTACTATCAACATGCCCGGACCCTTTATGCGAAAGAGCATCGACTCTTTGTCAAATCTCGTCAGAGGGAACTCGCTACGACGTCGTCAGACTCAAGACCAAGACCAGAACCAGGAACAAGAGCAGTATCAGTACCCGGATCACCAAGAAGCATCGAACATGGGTCACTCTCATTCTCGACAGAGCAGACATCGGTACGACTTCTCCGGCTCTGCGAACAGAAGCCCAGTGTCCCGGTCAACTGGAAAAGCAGCCATGAATAGCAGCCAGACTAAAGATCCCTGGGCCCCTCCGCCGTATGAACCACAGGCTGCCGCTCCTGCTTCTTCGACCATCTCGGGGAGCAGTGATTCTCCATACTCTTTCCTGCGGGAGTTCGATACGATCTTCATCGTGGATGATAGTACGAGCATGCTGACTGGTAACCGCTGGAAGGAGGCCGAAAATGCTATCGCTGCTATCGCGCCCATTTGTACGCAGTATGATCAGGATGGAATTGACGTCTACTTTCTTAACCATCGCCGCCAGGGAGCCGAGAAGGTGAAGGGTGGGTATATGAATATTAGAACAGCGGATGATGTCCGTGAGATATTTGGGAGTGTGTATCCAAATGGTCCGACGCCGTTTGGCCGACGACTTTACGAAATCCTCAATCCGTACATGCGAGACCTGCAAAAGGCGATCTCGAAGAGCGATGGATCGCGTGATTCGGCTCAACTCATGAAACCACTCAATATAATTGCAATTACGGATGGGGCGTTTACAGACGATGCGGAGAGTGTCATTGCAGGAGTTGCGCAAAAGCTGGACGAGAAGAAATATCAGGCGGTGCCTTGGCAGGTTGGAATCCAATTCTTCCAGATCGGAAATGATGCCCAGGCAAGGGCGTATCTGCAGGAACTCGACGACAATTTGGCCGATATGCAGAAAAAAGACCATCTCCGTGATATTGTGGATACCGTGCCCTGGAGAGGTGATCAGGGGCAGACGCTGAGCGCCGATGGCATTCTAAAATGCGTCCTTGGCGCCGTGTCCAGGAAATATGATAAACGCGAAGCGTCGTTTCACCGCTAAGGAAGATCGGTTCTGGTCTTCTCGTGCGCTCGTCCCTTATCATCTACACATTCGTTGCCTTCATGGTTTTGCTTTTCGTCGGCCCTTTTAGGGGTAGGCCATGGCTTGAGTCTAGACTCTATCCTTCATCTTCTCGACCCTGTCGTTTGTGTAACAGCGGCAGGGGTTGGGATGAAACGCGTTGCAGCAAGCGCCGTGTTGCCGCCGGCTTGCCCGAGACCAGAGCCCGTATTAGAATAGGATTTTGTGACTGGTCAATCTTCCTCAGATAGTGAGAATCAAATCGGTTGCTCTCGGCTTTCTTTGCTTTTTTCAAGTCTGCGTAGAAGGTAATGATTAGCGCTTTATCTGTACTACTTGTGAACTACGAAGCCCAGCTGTGGCCCCCCCGGGTAGTCCCGCTAAAATGAACTGTCCACGACTCAGTTAAGCAGGGTTAACCGATTGGTTGGTCATATTATATGGAAAGGTGAATGCGTCGTGCTAGGTATCTAGTGACAGCCATCTGTCAGAGGGGGCTAGTCTAGAGGGATACGGTTTACTGTCATTAGCCTTCGACTATTTGTTGTCCTCCAAACCTTGAATTTCATGGGAGGCCGATCGATCCTAGTTGCTCGGCAGCCGGGAAGTTAGTAGTCAAGGGACGGATACTGACTGGTCGCCGGGATGCAGCCAAAGGCGCTGAGCAGGCCATTGGGACTTGATCTAAATGAATCAGCGACGGAGTGAAATTGATTGGCTAAACAAGGCCAGCCAGTCCCCTGGGCGCGTAGACGCGCTGGTCCGTGAGGATGGATCACCGGCCTTGTCCTAGACCCCTGTCCTAGTGCTAGTTCCGTTAGTACAATGGAAACACTGGGTCGGGAGGAGATGGAAATTGACAAATCACCTTCGGATTGACCGGCGGTTTTCTCGTTTATGTGTTGCAATCCGGCTGGTCGTCGGGACAATGGGGAGAACAGGGAGACAATGAAACCGGGGGGAAGATGCAGGAGAGATGCAGCAACAATGGCTGGCGGCTGCAGCAGCAGGATGAAGGGAAGAAGCGACAGGCAGGCAGGCAATCAAGTTCAGCCCTCAGGCTGCCAGGCACGGTATCGTATCATTGGGTAAGATTGTTTCTTTTCCTCGAGCACCACCTGCGGGTCTCTCACGTGGTGTGGAGAAATGAGATCGTCGTGTATGCGTAATGTATTGATGGTGTCTCCCTCAGGGTCGACTGTCTGTTTTCATCCATTGACAATGGGATTGGAGATCTCTTCATAACTGGCTGAAACAGTGGGCTTGATATGGTGAACGAGTATAGGGTCAAACTTCGGCTATGAAGAATAGCATTTCAGGCCTTCCTTGCAAAGTATCAGGAGGGTTTTCCTTTACCTTTGTCATGTGGAAACTCACCAGCCTCAAGTGGCGAAGCAAGGTTCAATACGGTACGGTTATGTTCAAGCACCAGCCACCGCACCCCCAAAGGGGTAATACAGCGCGGGTCCGTCGTGGAATTTCCACCCGCCCGGCGTCTCTCCAAGCAACGCTCGAGTCAACCCGAGTCAATCAAGTCAACCACTGGATCGGTTTCGTGGCTGGCTGCTTTTTTGTGATCCATCGATATTAATCACTCGGGCTTCTTTCGGTCTCCACCAACTAAGTTCCGACTAGACGGCAGTAGTGGTCCCCATGGACTCCTGTGTACGCTGGTTCGCCAGGAGTGATCAGCATCTTTCCCAGTCTTTGGCCGGTGGATCGAATCTCCCAGGAACCATGCTCGGATCTCATCGTGCCTTTTTTCCCCTTAACCGGCCGTCCCTCTCTGGTTGCCATGAAAACCTTCTCCTCATCCATCCTCGCTTGCAGGGGCGATCCCCTTTGTGACGTGGTTATTGCCCTGTCCAGTGGATCTTTGATAAGCGCGCCGTGCGAACGATCGATTCAGCTGCTGAAATTCCACCGCAAGTCCACCCACTGTGCATCGAGTCTATTTGGTGACTATCATACTACCGATTGGATCTGCTCCGGCCGTCCTGCGCGCCCTGAAGCCGGTTCAGCCTGGCTGTCACCGACTTGTCTGGACCACGTGTGAAATCTCTTAATAACTCAATAAGAAGTCTGGTTCAAAACGTCCGACTCCTGCAGCAAGCGCCGCAATTTCTGCTCTGCCTCTCATCATCGTCCTTGGGCTCAGTCTCCGCCTTGTCGGCGCTTCCTACCCTCCATCACCCTGCTTCATTGGTCGTGATTGATCGTTGCAATCTCCCGACCAAACTTCCAATTTTAACTTCCGCATCCCCGCGGCTAATGATACAGTGATCTCCAACAGTCATTGCCCACTGTTGGTGTCAGAACGTCCCCTGGATTGTTATGGCACGGCGCTTCTGAGCCTCTTCCTCGAGTCTTATATTGCCTCTCAACCGCGCGGCCAGGCGCAATCCTTTGAACTGCACGGCTCGAGCCTTTGGAAAAGCACAGCCCGACTAGGCCTACAGAACATTCCTTCAATTTTGCGCATTTTGACTCTGTCCTGGCTGGCCTTGGACATTGTTCATTGTCTCTCCTTCTACTGTATAATACGCGCTGCTTATATCACGGACCTCGCTTCAATTGCGGTCTTCTAGAACCCAACCACTAATTCATACTTACTACCCAATCGACGACTGTCAACTTGCTTCGTGCGAGAATGGCTTCCACTACTTTGATGACGTTCCTCCTGTAAGTGTACGGTGACAATATAGAGGGACCGCTGCTAATATCCATCATAGCTCCACCCACCCTCATGTTCAATCGGTCAAGCTGCTGGGGTCATGGGATAACTTTTCACAGCCCTATATCATGGAGAGAGATAAGCGTGTTGGTGCAGGGCAGTGGCGAGGATGTCACACCTTTAGCAACATCGTCTGTGATGGCTCACCAACGCACATGATGCCGGCACGCTCCGGAGGACTCAAAATGGGCGGTACTTACTGGTACTATGTATGTTGTCACCTAACCTCTCCCTCTCAGAACATTGATCTGACTCTCGGTCTAGTACTTGCTGGACAATGATGTAGAACATTATAATGAGGCAGAGCCCGTGACAACTCACTGTCCTCTCCTTCCGGGTCAACCAGTCAATGTTCTCAACGTCCCAGTTATCCTCCCGGATACCTTTCCCACTCATACACATGCGAGGAGTCCGAGCTCACAGAAGGCGGATCACCGAACCATGAACCCTGAAGACAAGTACATGAATCCTCGACAGCCACCTAAGCCAAAGCTCCCTCGTCTTCGCACGTCTCCTCCTTTGTTGCAACAACCGGCTCCGGCTTGGTCATTCAGCACATCTCCTCTCGGTATCATCACTCACAGAGGCGCATCGCAGCCCAGTAGCGCAACCCCGAAGGCGAAGGGCCTGGACGCACCGAGAGCAGCCGGATGCAAAGCCGCTCGTTCTGTGTCGCCGCCTAGATCAAGGGGTCTTCGCGCCGCCTTCCGACATTGGAATACATCTTCACCAGATCTCGGATCTACAGAAGATGACTGCCGGGCTAATAAGCCCGCTGCAAATCATGGTCTCAAGGGCCTATTTGGGAGGCAAGAAGAGCATTCCTACCTCGCAGTCCAACCCCCTGCTACTTTTGAGAGCTCCCCACTTGCTGCTCCTAGCAACGTATATCAACATTCGACTGATTCCCTCCGCACACCCGGAAACTCTGGAGAACGCCGCTCGGTGCCTTTGACAATCCAGGACCGACGAGCACTCAACTCAAAGATTACGGAGAATGGCTCTCACAGAACTCCTCTCACCGTGCAGACCAAACCAGGAAGCGACAGTTCCGATAAACTCCCGACTCGGGAGGGACCGCGGCATATAGTCAGAAGATCACTTCCCATGGAGTCACCAGCGATTCTATCGACAGCTATTGGGCCCTCAACGTTCGATCTTGCTACTACTCCAACCGGCTTCACGACCGATGAGAAGAGACTCCCGACATTGCCCAATACGCCGTCATCAGTCATGGATGAAGCGCTTCGGGACATCGATGAGCAAGAGAAGGCTCTCGACCCTGAGGCTCTAGGCAGCCATTTTTCGGATTTTACCGATACTGAGTCTGTCGCTGGCAGCTCCGTGTGTGAACGAAGCCACTTTTCGGAGTGGACAGTGGATACGGATGTTCTGTCTCCCAAGTCTATGGCATGCTCAATCACTGTCACCCAAGATGCCCAGGTACCTCCCACGAACGACTTCGCTGGTACAATGGACTTCCTCAAAACTTCTATACCTGCGGATCTGAGTGATCCAGACACACCCCATCTTACAGTCAACTCCCAATCAGCGGCCACCTCCATCGCAGGTGATTCGCCTCGCTTGGATCTCCCTCTTCCTCGCCTTTCCATTTCATTATCCCCCTCTGATCTTGACATCCCCGGTCTTTACATCGATGACGAAGAGCGCGTGGAAAGCAACCCCAAGCGACACGCTGCCTTTTTCGGCGCGGACGAGTCGATCAAGGGTCTCGGCCTTTTACAGAGCCCCGACCCCTCGACGCTGCAATTTCCCGAGGATGTCACCAGCGACAAGACCCCCCGTAATTCCCAAGGCTTGGCTGCACCCTGCAAGGATTCTGAGCGCTTTAGCAGGGTTTCGTTACTGGGACAATCTGCAGCAATGCGCGAAATGATGGATGAGCTGAGCTATCTGAAGCACATGATAGATTCTGGCTCAGGTGCAGAATTCTGATACTATTGGCGACACATTGCTCATCGCACTTCTTGTAAAAATGCACTTTGACGGGGGCACGTGGTGTGTGGATATATTATGTATATAATTATGACGTTGCATTTTAGCGATTAGAACCGATTCTTTATGATGGGCAGGTAAACAATATTCAAACATTACACTTGCATATGATTATAGTTCCTCCTCCTAGGTATAAGTTAACATACCTTGTTGATGCTCTTCCCCAGTAGATCGGGAGCGGATCAACGCGAGCCAAACCAACGCGACAAACACCCGCATGCCAAGAGTTTCGGCCTTCCGCTAGGGAAATCCAACCAAGACAACTGAACAACAGGACTGGACACGCGAAGTACAGGCATTCACAGCAATTGATTTCTTACCCGTTCTATAATGGACTGAGGTCCCGTCCAACTAATATGGCTGAAGATCAAGATTCACGGCCGCCCCATGAGCCGCAGCTCACGCCTGTCGGGGAGAAGTCCTTACCCGCAAAATGTAAGGCAAACATTCTGACTTATTGTCCCACGATGGATCTCATCGCTCTGTCGAGTGAGGACGATGAACTTTTTGTCTACCGCCTGAATGGGCAGAAGGTTCTTGGGGGCAACTTCAAAGGCGATCCCTATCTTGATGAGGATGATGGTGGTGGCGAGATTCGAGGATTGAAGTGGAAGAATACCGGTAAGCTGTTTACGCCTTTCGTAGATGAACATGTGGACGTGCAGCTCTTCACATCCCATCTTTTGCTTTGGAGAAGACTGACATATAGGCAGGTCATCTGCTGTCTGTGGCTTGCGCTGACAACACTATCCGGGTCATCAGCGCTTATAGTGGGAAAACTGTTCACCATTACCCTGCTTATCAGTCTGACGGCGAATCATCACCGCCTGTCAAGGTGACCTGCTTAGGCTGGGGAGTGAATTTCACCGACAGCAAAGCAGCAAAGAGGCACTTGCACGACGCTGCCGGGCAAGTCAACGTCGATGACCTCTTGTCACCGGACAATCATCCGTCCAAAGCAGCAGCTTTACTAAAGGCTGACTTACCGAGAGAGCTAGCATTGCTTGATGTCGAGTCTTCACTCCCCAAACTAAGCACATTACCAGCAACAGGCAGCGAGTGGGTCTTTCATCCTTTTGTGTGACTGATGCAGCTAACACGGCATCTAGTGATGATGTTTTCAGTTCGCGGGCGTCTATTGACGCCATATTCCATGCTATCTCCAAAAGCGCTAGCGACGCGGTGGATGTATTGTTGGTAGGCTTTGATAATGGGACGGTCCACCTGCGCATCTTCGACTGTTTCGAGATTGGCTCTCTTCAGGTCGGGGGGTCTATTGGGAATTCGGGACCCTGCCAGATCCTTCGTCATGCCTCCCATCCACTCAGCTCGACACACGCATTATTGGCGCTGGCGCCGGAGGCCACCTCGAGCCCTTTACATCTCCTCACGCTTGATCTTCGCTTCATTACTCGGTCAGGAAGATATCTGTCTCTCCTTGCGCACAAGACGACACAGCTACAGAATTTGCTGCGGTATATTAGTCAGGTGCAGAGGCAGATTGAACTTGAATGGAAGAATGCACAAGAATTGCCGACGAGGTACATGCGCAGTGTCAATGAGGACTTGCAGGAGAAATGCCACTGCGACTTTGTCACAGCTGCGTATCACCTGGTTGTTACTGGGGATTGCTTCGAGCCATTGAGGGAATTTTTGGTGGACATTGTTGGCGAAAGAGTATGCTTATGACGTGCTTCGCATCTATCGTATTCGTATTGACCATACTACAGGGACACAAAAGATGGGAAAAGGCTGTATCCAGCGGCTATGAGAATGTCCGCCGATTAACCCACGAATGCCTTCTTCCCGCTTTGGAGAGATGTGAAGTATTATTGAGCCGGCTGATTGGGCTATCAAAATTCTATAAACTGAGTGAAGTACTTGGCCTGGAAACATCAGACCTAACGGCGATCGTGGAGACCCTCGATTGTCTTCACCTTCTCGCCCACCACATACTAATTCATGCCAATGAAGAATTGACCCAGTTTAGCTGTTTCTCTAGATGGCTTCGCCATGAGATAGACATGCAAAGTGCGGAACCGATGTCACAAACCCTAGAGGAGTTGATGGAGAAGACAGACATGGTCGAATATCCACAGACCTTGAAATACATACGCGGCGCTCTTACCAAGAGCAAGTTGCGGAATTTCATTCAGCAGCTGCCCATGATGGGGATGCCAAGGCCACCTACCACATCCTCAGATAAATGGGCTCCAACCGGCCAGGATAGGTCATTCTATGACACTTTCAGAAAGCTTCTCGAGCAGAGTGAGAGCCCCGAGGAGGCCAACTCAGTGGAACTACCGAAGATGAATGACCTTACGAAGCGACTGGGGCTACAGTTCGAGAGGGTCTTTGGGCAGATCGCACTGACACAACGCCGGGGAATACTTCATCGTTCGCCTTTGGCTCTTCATCCCGACTGTGATAAGGATGTTATTGATATTGTCATGTGCAACGAGGTAAGACATTGCAGTATTGTGTGTAATGATGATTGCTTATCAGGTCTGCAGGATACCGAAAAGAAGGATCAATGTGTGATCTACATTGCTACTAGATCCATCAAGAGAAAACATCTGCGTGAGCAAATCCCGGCATATGAA